TATCCAGACAGGGGCAACTGGGATTGATTACAAACACTACCGGAAAGGATGTTACATGAAATTAACCTGTCCAACATGTAGAACAAAAGGGATGACCGCATGCAACACTAACCATCACGTCATAAGGAAATCTATCAAAACATATGCCACATACAATCTGCAAAATAAAAATTTGATGCAATTATATGATGTATGCAATTTAGGCATACAGTTGGAAGAAATACAAAATCTCTGTTACATGTTTACATACTTCCTTAACCCTGGAAAGTTGAATAACAGGATTTTCCAACAAGCCAGCACTTTTTCGGGCTCTTTCCTCGTCAGAGAACCATTCTTCGTGCACCTTGTTCACACTCCTACAAGATAATAGTTGAAGCAAAGAGTCAACTAAGAGAAAATTGCACTTGGAATCAAGTAAATAACAAAGCCATGGCATCATTAGGACATTTCCAAATGCTACTCAATATTATGGGTGCAATTGAATATAATCCAAACTTCACCCTTACCCTCTACAGTGCAGCATCAAAAGATGTATAAAGTGCAGCATCAAAAAGAATCAAATTACCAATTACAATGGCGCAACAGTATACATGCTGCTACCCTCGATATGGAAAGAAGAGCTGAAATTCTATTTATATCATCCTCTTGACGTTTGTGTATGTCTTCTTCTTCCAAAACGGTGTAGCTTTTCTGAGCATGGAGGCACAAATAATTTTTTTAGACCCAAAAGAGAATGAATTGAATTGAAAGCACAAGAGATGATAAAATATAGAGTTACTATCTTTCATGCAAATTGTCCATAAGTAACTTAAACACATACAACCTAATATGGAAGTATGTTCTTTTTAACAGTTTTGCATGTAAAGTACCATCCTGGTATGTACGTGGCTACCCTAACAATCAAATATAAGAGTAACATATAAAACGAAATATTAAAGTTTACTCTTTTTAAACGGTATTACAAATGAAGTACTCCATACAATTTTGGTACCTACTACCAAAAATAAAATATAAGAGCTGTATAAGATCAAGAAAAGCATTGGCTAACATGTATGGAGAAAGGTTGCAAGAAGCTGGACAAAATCTAGCAACTTACATACAATTGTTACCTAGATCCTACCTTAAAAGTAAAGAATCACACCTGAACAGTAATGCAACAAGTTCCAACTCAGTCATTTGACTCATGTGGCATACATGTCAATAAAGAAACAAACTTTAGGATGACTATATGATATCCTAGCCAACATACACAAAATACAATTTTACCCTGTACACAGTACACATAACCATCTAAGCGTGTATGCATGACCTGCTTCTTTTTGTGAATATCTTACTTCCAATCCCAATAATAAGCTGATACAAAACTAATACAGTTAAGATCACGACCCTAACTTTTGAAAAGTATATGCAATCCAAACTGAAAGGCCGGGAAAGGTATAACAATACAAAACTACACATTGGCGTGAACCTGAGAACGATTGAGGGTGGGATCATCGATGGCTTCAGGCTCGTTGTCTATGTCGTCAACATCTTCATCACTGTCGCCTGTGGCTTCCCCATAGCCATAGCCATAACCTTCGCCATCGCTGTAGAAATCCTCGTCTACAGACTCGAGGTCATTAGCATCGTGCATATTATCATCAGAATCCATTGAACAATGAAACAAAAACTCAGAACCCTAACGAAACCCTAGCACAGCTCTTGCAGAATATGATCGAGCTCGCTGATTATATGAATGAATTGGATGGAGCACACCGATTCAGGCGATCGAACAGAAGAACAAAAACAATGGATATAGTGGATTAAACTAATGAATCTTTATGTTGGAAAGTGAAGCGTCTGAATCCGATATGGCTTCGGATTTGGTTCTCTCTCTCTCTCTCTGCTTCCGTCTGCAGGGGGGAGTGAAAACAGAGGCGTGGCTGGGTAAGGGTAAATAGAGAGACGGTGAAGAAGATTGTTTTTTGGGAATTCCTTTTGGTTAGTAATATTTTAGTCTCTTTTCCTTCCAAAATTAGATTCATGCCCATGCGATGCATAGACACAAAATTTCCGAATTCTTATTTCAAGTGGTGTAGTTAAAATCAATTGTTAGGAGCTTTAACAAATATATTTGCACTGCAAAAGTACAATAAGTTTAATTTTTAATTTGGGTCCCTATATCTTTAATTTATTGACTATAGTTATATTCAAATTGGTGTTTTTTATGCAATGTTGTATGTATATTGTTCAAGAAATGATATGTTCATAAACATTTTGATCATAAAATATACAAACTTGCCATATATGTACCTCACCAAGTAAAAAAATAATTTTAAATAATTTAAAAGAAAATTTGAACACATAAATGACAAATTTATGTATTATGTAAACAAAATATTCGTGACTGTAGCATTTCTCATATTGTTCTCTTAGTGCAATGATAAACATTAAGTTAAACTATATGGTGGCTTGTAAACATATCAAACACTGATAAAAATAATCGTTCTTACTGTATTTTATGAATATAATGCTTATTTTATGTCAATCTAATCCCATCGTGAACTAACTCTGGGATTAGGGGAACTTAATCGTGTATTGTTCACTACTGTATTTTATGAAAATAGTAATTATTTTAATTTTAAGGAGATACTTCGCAATAATGTTTATTTGGTTGTGCATTTTTATTATTTAGATGATAAAACTAAAATATCTTTGTAGCCATTTGTTTTTTGTAGATTTTTCGACCTAGTTTTTTAAAATTTAAAACTAAAAAAAGGAGTAATGTTAGAGTCACAAAATTCACAAATGTCCCGAATATGTAAAGTAATATGTTCAAATAATGGTCTCAAATAATAAAAAAACAAAAACTAAAACATACAAATGGTAAGCTTATGCATTTTGTGAATGTTTTATTTGTGGTTCTAGCATTACACAAAAAAGGCTTTTGGACTAAACCTAAAAAACACCTAATGACACTAAGCCCAAAACTTTAAATTGTATGGAAAAAGGTCTAAAAATACAAAGGAAAAAAAAGTAAAAAACAAGAAGATAATGAGAGAAAGAAATGCCAGCCACAAATTGCCACGGCACACAGGTCTCCTCCCTGTAAATTTCTGAAGTCATTTTCCCCGCCGTCTTCAACTCTTTAAGGATCGTGCAACCCATCTATCGATCAGGGGTAGTAGCCACTGACCCGAGCCCACTCGTTCAGGGGTTGTTGGCGAATTCAAACTGACGATTAAGGCAGCACAACAGTTTGGGTGACCGGGGGCTACGGTTTTGAGACCACGACACGCTTTCAATATACTCATCATGAAATTCACAGAGCAGAATACTCACCTTCTCATCTCCATATATAAATTGGAGATCTTATATTCCTCCTCCAATTTCTACTGCAATGAAAGAAGGAGAGTGCAGAGCATTTGCAAATGAAGAGAGACAACAACATCTTCACGTGTCCCCTCTGGCCCATTAAATATTGATTGACACAATATTTTGGACTGATGTTGGGTAAAATGGGCGGGAAACAACATATGCTATTTCATTTTCTTTTTATATATAGTAGGATTAAATTAGGAATATAGTTTTTAATATTTCCTCTATTCCAAAATAATTTTTTTCATTTTCTTTTTGGTTTGTCTCAAATTAGATTCGTTTTTATGAAAATATCATTTTTGGGACAAACCAAAATATTAAAAAAAATGATATTTTCATAATTTAAATGTTTAAACCCAAATTTCTGAAAGGTAACCATGCAAGGATAGGCAGCGGAATATAAAAATTTTAACATCCTAACATGATTATCTTGCCCAGAATCACGTACTAAAACTTATAGTAGTAAGAAATTTGTACCTTTCNAGGAAGAGCGTTGAAAGTGCAAACGTAACCGTTCAAGCGTCCGGTCTCCAACTTTGACACACGAACAACGCCGGAGTCTACCACAATCTTTATGCTAGTAAAGATTATAGTAGTATAAAATATAAAGATTAAAATTGGGATAATAATAATCTTGTATATTTCTATAGAAAATATTTCTAATAATATTTAGAAAATATTATAGATATTTTCTATACACAAAATGATATTAATGGAACACAAAAGAATTTTTCTTTCTCTAGAAAATATATGGCCGAATGACACACCAACTAAATGATAATCTTCACCCTATATTTATTTCATGTGCCGTGTAACCATTTAAAAAGAAAACAAAAGATTACAAATTGATTAATCATATTTTGTCATTAAGCAAAATGTTAAAACACTATTAGCTCCACTAAAGAATCAATCAAGAAGAGAAATTGATTCAATAATCTCCACTTGGCCGTATGTTTGATTGTGAGAAGGATTTTTAAAATTCTTCTCCACTCAAATGTTCAAAGTGTATTTTATTTGACACCAAAAATTAATATAAAATTAACTTTAAATCAAATAAAAATACCCATATCATTTTTAAACAAGTATACAAATATACTTGAAATAGTTTATGTCAAAATAATTATTTTCATAATTAAAATGACAAATCAAAATAAAATATTCAACATATAATATATATATATTAATCGGCACATATATATAATATATATAACCGAATATTTATATATATATATTATTATATTCCAAAATATTTTATTTTACTATTTTACAAATATACAAATTACTTATTATCCCATTGTTTAATCCTACTCCTTAAATTGTTCAAAGTGTGTGACCCGTATAGGCACTTATAAAGCTGGCCACAGTATTGGCTCTGCACCCAACATTTTTGAAAAAAATCAGGATTCATGCCATCCGGTCCGGGCGATTTGTCAGGATGCATGGCAAAAAGAGCTTCCTTAACTTCTTTTTCTCCGGATGGACAAAGCAAACTAACATTCTGCTCCACTGTGATACGCAGTAGAATGGACTCAAAAAAAGTGGGATTAGCCACCCCATTAGTCTGAAAGAGATCCTCATAGAACTTTATCACCAACTGAACCATATCAGCGCCCTCACACCAATTCCCATCCGGAGCCATAAGTCCATGAATGTGATTTTTCTTCTTGCGATAAGAGGCATATTGATGGAAAAACCGAGTGTTTCTGTCTGCCGCATAAAGCCAGTGCTGCTTCGCCCGTTATCGCCAGTACACATCTTCCTGATCAAGCAACGTGGAGAGCTCTGCATCTGCTTTACTAAGAAAACGACGTCCCTCTTCATCCCGACGCCCACGTACCTTCTGGATTAAGTCACGCAACTCTTTAGTTCGCTTGCCAAATTTCTGAAATTTATCACCTCCCCACTGAAGAAACCTTCGACCACAGAAATCCAGTCTCTCAGAAAAAGGCTTCTCACTAGATTCCCCCCATGCAGATATAAGAACCTCCTTAAAGCCCTCATCCTTAAGCCATGCATTTTCAAATCGGAAACGACGCTCACGACTATGAAGTGTCGGCCCTGCAAGGCTCAGAAACAAAGCCGAATGGTCTGAACGATGCATGTGTTGGTTGAAAACACAAGCTCTATCAAACAACTCCTTCCAAGAGCCCGAGGCCACTGCTCTGTCAAGACGTTCCTCTATCCAGTTAGGAGAGCCCCTGCCCCTCTCCCATGTGAAGGGGTAACCCCTCATGCCCAAATCAAATAAGCCACAATCAGAGAGAACTGCGTTAAAGCCTGAAATGAGCGCGTGAGGATGAGGATTGCCTCCTTTCTTTTCTCTTGTAGCACACAAATCATTAAAATCACCCACAACAACCCATGGCAATTCCGACTTATGCTTAAGGGACCGAAGTAGATCCCATGGTGCCTGTCTCCCATCCCTCCGGGGGTTCCCATAAAAACCAGTAAGTCTCCACATTGGTAGGTTCCTTAAAGAAACAGCAATGTCCACGTGAAATCGGGAATAACTAATCAAATTTGCAGAATTCTTTTCCTTCCAAAGCAGTGCAAGCCCACCACTCAAACCCACATTATCCACATAAAAAAGGCCCTCAAACCCCAGCTTCAACCGCAACTCTTCTGCCTTACTCCTCGCACATTTCGTTTCCATAAGAAAAATAAACTCGAGCTTTTTGACGGCTGCAAGCTCTGCCACTTCTTGAACTGTTCGTCGGTTGCCCAACCCACGGCAGTTCCAACTGATAAGACTCATTGCTCCTGGCGGGCCTGGAAACCAGAGCCCGCCCCACACAAGTTTTTTGAGCTATCGAAAGACATACTATCATTTACAGAAAAGCTGGCTTCCAAATCATTACCTCTTTTGCGTTTAGTCACCAAGGCAAATGCTAAGTCTTCATCCTGCTTGGATCCTTCCCCATCTGATCGTGCATCAACGAGCCGTCTCACTTCAATCGGTTCTACGTGTCTAATCCATGGCTCACCAATAGTTAATAGTGGCTTCCTACCTCCTGCCTTAAGTGACTCATCATATGGATAATTCTCTGGCTCCAAGGAAGAAAGGAGCGCCATCCGACAGTGCTTCGACAGATGACCAAGGATACCACAATAATAACAAAATACAGTAATCCTCTAATATTTGAAAAGGACCCACACTATAGAGCCATATCTCTTGGTTAACTTCATCCTTCGCTTCAACGGTTTATGAACGTCAATAGCCACACGCACTCGAAAGAATCCTTGGTATGCTTTTGAAACATTAGCAACATCAATCCTGCGAAATTGGCCCAAAAACTTACCCACCGCCTCAAGGACTGCCGGAGACGTATACCCAGGAGGAAGATCATGCACCTGAACCCATAGCTCCAGCAAATAAAGATCTGCCGCCTTAATCGTCTCCCCAGGTTCCACAAGTCGGCAAAGCAGCATATTGTTCTCAAATGACCATGGCCCCTCCTCAATGATGCGTTTTGCATCCTTCTCATGGTAGAAGTAAAACCAAAATAATCCACCCTCGCCCTGCCTGAATCGCACCCCCATAGCAGGCCTCCAAACCGAAGCAAGAACTTGTTGCATGATGTCAAATTTGATTGGTTTATTAGTGAGAAAACACCCTACCACTGTCCATGTGCGGAAATCGTCCACCGGAATTTGTAGACCACCTTCTAGGGCAAAAGAGAGACCTTCCTCTTCCTCCGATATTGCCAAATTGGTAATCGCAGCATCCAGACTATGCACACTCTGATCCTCCATGTCTGATGACGAATTCGAATTGCGAGAACAAGTATTTGGATGAGAATCGAAAATTAGATCCGGAAAAACACTCCAACCGTCGGGGAGAGAAAAACCCTAATCATAGAGAGAGAAAAGGTAATTTATATAATATTTAAATATGTTTAAACCACTAATTTGACCGATTAAACCATTAATTCAACCAAACCAGTATCTTACCCTATTCGATTTCGATCACCCATCCTGCTTGAAAACTATGTTCAAAAACTTACAAAAGAGGTTCTAAATACTTTCACGTCCTTAACACTGGGCTTTGACTAGCAGCGATCCGGGTGCGTAGGGTTTTTCATCAAAATACGAACCCCGTCGTTTCAAAGAGTTCCACACTTCCACAACCCTAGAGCAGTGCAGACTGCAGAGCTCATTACCCATCGTCGGCGACGCTCCAGAAACGCACCTCGCAATCAATGGGGAAAGCGGATAAATCACACAAGCCGGCCGGCGGTGATGACGAAATGGATCCGACGGTAATGCTTGCTTCCCTGTATCCATTTACCGGTTCAGATCAATGTATTTACATTTTTTGTGTGTTTTGTTTTGAGTCTTTTGTAGCAATACCATGAGAACAGATTGAAAGCACTCAATGATCAAAAGGAAGCCGGCCAAAATCCGCACCCTCACAAATTCCAGGTTTCCTTGTGTATCCCGGAGTTCATCGAGAAATACAAGGGATTAAGTAGCGGGGAGCGTCTCGAAGAGCAAGTCTCGTTAGCTGGTATTTTTGCTTAGAAAACATAAATGAACTCTTTTTTTTGGAAATACTGACTATATGTTTATTCATTTCTTTTCATATACTTAATGATCTTTACTAATGTTTGGACTTTCTTTCCCGGGAAGGCCGGATTATGATGAAGCGTGCATCTTCTTCTAAGCTTCTGTTCTATGATTTACATGGCAAGGGTGCCAAAGTTCAAGTAATGGCTAGTGCTAGGTACCGACTAATCTACTTTCACAATTCACATACCATTCTCATGTTGCAGTACATTTTCTTTTCGAGTGAAAGGCCTTAGTTATTAACCTGCTAATTTGTATCTATCTAGGGAATCTGACTTGGATGAGGATGAGTTTATTAAACTTCACTCTTCTGTGAAACGTGGAGATATTGTTGGCGTTGTTGGATCCCCAGGTTTGATTGAAACTACATTTGCGTTCCTTATTTTGATTCATAATTTTTCTTTATTGGACAAAAGTATATGCTTTTGTTCGATCTTCTGTACCCCTATTGTTATGATATTCAAGTGTAGTTTTATATTTTTTTTCATGACCACGTGATTTGTTGAGATACTTGTTTGGTGAAATGATTTCCTAATAATTTTGACTACTTTATCAGGAAAGTCAAAAAGGGAAGAGCTCAGTATCTTTCCAAAATCTTTTATAGTCTTATCTCCATGTCTCCACATGATGCCACGACAAAAGGGTCCTCAGACTGAATCAGCCAAGGTCAGAAATCTTGTTTTCTGTGAACTTGAGGGCATTTATCCGTGTTTGATACATTTTCTTTGTTATGCAGAAAACTGATGTATGGGTCCCTGGAAGTGCCAGAAACCCAGATGCATATATATTGAGAGATCAGGTAGTGTTTTATCTTATTTCCATTTTTTTTCTTTTCAAATGTGTTCATAGGTATATTCAGCTATAGACTGAAGCATTTCCGTGCAGGAAACACGGTACAGACAACGCTATTTGGATTTGATGCTGAACACAGAGGTCCGGCAAATCTTCAAGACAAGAACAAATATCATAAATTTTGTAAGAAGCTTCCTCAACAATCTTGACTTCCAGGAGGTCAGTAACCCATTAGTTTATTCGAGTGAACATTTAAATAAGGTCCAGGCTTTTTTTCATTTACTGATGTACTTTCTCATATAACTGTCTAAAGGTTGAAACACCCATGATGAACATGATTGCTGGAGGAGCAGCTGCGCGTCCTTTTGTAACTCACCATAATGACTTGAAATTGGATCTTTACATGCGCATTGCACCTGAGCTTTATCTTAAACAACTAGTTGTCGGTGGACTAGACCGTGTCTACGAAATCGGGAAGCAGTTTAGGAACGAGGGAATTGATTTGACACACAATCCGGAATTCACTACCTGTGAGTTCTATATGGCTTATGCAGATTACAATGACTTGATGAGTCTTACGGAGCAAATGCTAAGTGGTGAGTGGCAATATTGTGTCTAAGTTATATACAGAGTATTAGCAATTCCTATCACATCGATGTTCACTTTTTGAATTCATGTATAGTATATACACCTTGAAATTTCATTTAACAATTTTTTGGCGGTCGGTTAGGTATGGTGAAGGAGCTCACAGGTGGCTATAAAATTAAGTATCATGCGAACAGTGTGGAGAATGACCCAATTGAGATTGATTTCACTCCTCCTTTTAGGTCACTTCTTTTGCATTTTCATTTCACTATGTGGGTAACTGTATGAGAATGCTTGAAATAATTTCATCTGCCTTAACTTTGTACAGAAGGATTGACATGATAGAGGATTTGGAGAAAGTAGCAAATCTCAGTATACCCAAGGATCTTGCCAGTGAGGAAGCTAACAAGTATCTGGCAGATGCATGTGCCAAGTTTGAGATAAAATGTGCACCTCCTCATACCACGTCTAGGTTGCTCGACAAAGTAAACATTTAAAAGTTTTGAACTTCTCTATATTACAGTTTTGGTTAATGCGGTTTAAATAATTGGTTATGTCATTTAGTTGAAGAAAACTTCGTTTTCCATCTTATATGATTTTCGCTGTGCATAAATTGATATTTACGAGTTACCTTAATTAGCTGAAGAGAAACCATATACTCCCAAGGTACCCAAACTAGCTTGTTGCCTTTTTGCCTTCTCAAAATCATGTTTGTGTTTTTTATGAGTCTGGAATTTTTGGTTCCTTTTCTTCTCAATTTCTAGCATGCCAAAAATCAATGACTACATGTATTGTCTCAGGAGGGAATATCTTTTTAAACTATGTCTCTGATTTGGTTTGATTGTAGTGTAATTTAAAGTTGTTGTTGATCTGGTCTGATCTGACTTGATTCGAATCCAGTAAGAATAAGAAATAAAGAGAAACATAAGCTGAAGAGAACGGGGCCTGTGACCATCATGTTTATGATCCCCAACCTTCAATTTCTGTACCAATGATGTGTTCATCATTATATATTTTTTATTCGAATTGAAAGTTAAAATCTGTTTGAGCTTTCATTTGATTCCGTGTGGTTATGTATCACATGTTGAACATCATCATTCTATACTTCTTTTTTTATATCTGAAAGTAGATACACAAAGTATTTCATTCAATTCAGTGTTATATATATCACATTGGTTCTAATTTGTTTCATGTATCTAAATGCCAGCTTGTTGGGCACTTCCTTGAAGAACTGTGTGTTAATCCAACTTTCATCATCAATCACCCAGAGATAATGAGTCCACTTGCAAAATGGCATAGATCTAGGCCCGGGTTGACTGAACGATTTGAGTTGTTTATCAACAAACACGAAGTATATATGCTCTCTTTTAACTTCTTAGTCATAATTTTAATCACTGAACATGCTCTTATGTTGTGCATCATATCTCCAATCTTACAGCTTTGCAATGCATACACTGAGTTGAATGATCCTGTTGTTCAACGACAACGGTTTGTTGATCAGCTCAAGGTACACTTGCTAAATTTGACAGTTATTTTATACTCTTTCTCTATTCCAGTGTATATTGGTTAAAAATAATTTTTTTGCAGAAGAGTTTTCTTAACTGGATATGCCTTTTATATTGAATTCAGGATCGTCAATCTGGTGACGATGAAGCCATGGCTTTTGACGAAACTTTCTGCACAGCTCTTGAATATGGATTACCTCCTACAGCTGGATGGGGACTGGGAATTGATCGATTTGCAATGCTGTTGACTGATTCACAAAACATCAAGGTTGGATTTGTATTTCATTCATTTTTGAAGTGAAATGACGGGATAGTGTGGTTCATATTGAGTCATATGTTTCCTTGTCGGCGTTTTCAGGAAGTCATACTCTTTCCTGCTATGAAGCCACAAGAAGAAGCTACCAGCAAAGAAAGGTGTGCTGTTTTGTTGTCTAGTTCAAGCTTCTGGTAGTTTGTCTCTATACTATTGCTAATTAGATCTGTAATCTCTTGACCTTAATTTACACTCCTTTTATTGTCACGATAAGAGTTGTTGGATAACTTCTAAACTACATACACGATCAAGTTTTGGTTAAATCAGAACTCAGCTTTAGAAAAGCAGAATTAGAATGTCATTTTTTACGTTTCCAAACATCGTCTATCCTATCAATGTCTGTAAGGAGAGTAACATGCATTTCTCATGTGGCTTTATGGCTGATTTTTTCTAGCCAAAACAAATTGGACGAACCTACCAAGGCCAATGATGCACAAACCAAGCCACAGGACTCTGGCGTCACCCCAGGTTAGTTCTGGGTATGCCTTTTGTTTCGTTTCTAAAATTTTCTTTTCGTTCTAGTTTTTGCTCTCTGATCCCTACAATCTTGAAATGCAGGGGCGCCTTGATACCCGTTTTCAAGCTGAACATCAACCATGGCTTCACTGAAGCTAATCAACTATTACCTGCACAAGGGTCTTAATATATCTAAACGTATGTGTCACTTTATAGATATATGCATTGTATTCTTTAATCTTCTTTTTTTTCCTACTAGGAAATGTTTCTATGGTCATAGATTGTCTCTTGATTCTTCACTTAAGGAATCAGAAGCTCATCAAAAGTTTTTGTTCCAAGAGAAAGATACTCTGTTTTTGTCATTGCTTTTGCTCTATGAAATACAAACATCAATTTTTCAGTGTTTCTGCTTGGATAATCTATAGTTCTGAACAGATGTACACAATATTTCACTCTACTATTTATATTTATATCTAAGGGAGCATTAGTTTGAAAATTAGATCCAAACACCCCCTACCTTTCCCACGAGAAAAATATAGTCCCTTTTATTCCATGCCTTAGACGAAGGCCTGACAAAACCAGTAACAACTTTATATGTAGAAGGGAATACGAACCTGGTTTTTATCACATTTCTTTAATTAAAAAAAGGGACAAATTGTTCTGGATTCACAGCTCTAGGACTTGTTGCCTCTGCGGGGGGTCGTGATCCCTCGGGGGACAATTCGGTCGAAGCGGTGGAAATGGGAATGGGGGGAAAAGACAAGGAGGACGAGGCGGCAAGTGACACGGTGGTTCAGGCGGGTAGGGACAGGGAGGACGAGGCGACAGCGGCGGCGGCGGAGGCGGCGTTACAGGATGTGGAGGTTGCTGGGCATACCCACACATCCCATAAACACACAAAAGCAAAAGAGGGCATGCCCTGTCACACCCTCCACAGTGAAGTGGGTTCACGTTAGTATTAACACAGACTCCCCGGCAGCACTGCAGTGGGAAGCGGCACCGTATCCCACACGACCCGCAGTTGTTGAGGTCCGACGTGACTGCCACGCACCGGTTCTGGCAGCACTGCCGACGCCGCCCGTCGGATTCACTCGCGCTGCATACCCATGGCCTGGTCCAACACCCAGCTTCCCTCTGGTTTTTCTCCCCTGCTGCTACTCTCTTCAGCCAGGGAGACGACGACAACGACAACGGATTCGTTGCTTTTGGGTTTCCTGAGGTTGCGGCAGATGTTTGGAGAATAGACACCAAATGAAGTAGTATCACTACATGCATCTTAGGTTGTTTTCTAACTTTTCTTCATTAAAATAAGCAGAACTGATTATTGGTTGTATACCATATATATATATATATATATATATATAGTCCATCACTCCCTTAAATAGAACTCTTTGAGGTTTAAAGGGATTTATGAGATTAAAAAAAATTCATCTGTCTATAAGAAGTGTTTTTTGTCGACTCAAAAAATGTCTCATGAAAGAAAATAAAAAAATAAGAAATTGTGTTTACGGTGCAAAAAAATAGTAAGAAATGAGTGTTATTACTTCTTTTTTTTATCTCTTTATAAAAACCTTCAATAAACACTTCTATTTTCTTAAACTTTTTAAAAGACAGAAAAACAATTCTCTGGGACATAATGTAGTGACATGGGATTTAAGAAAATGTAAGATTGTGTAATTAATGTTGGTATTAAAAAGCAAATTAAAAGTGAAATATAATACGGAATATGTGACAAAAATAATAGAACAAAAAAGCAAAAACTGACAAAAATAGTGAAACGAAATAAGTAGTCTTTTTATTTCAATTTATTTGAAAATCGTATAGAAATAAAAAATAAAAGGTACATACTTAAAAATAACACAAAAGTTTTATAAAATAAGATTTGATATGTCTATTACTCCGTATTTTATAAATTGATAATTTAAAATTCATAAGCAAAAAAAAAGTAAGTGACCCTACTGGAAGTATTAATTAGAGAAGAAAAGTGTACAGGAAAGGAAGAAGAAAAGGAAGTATTTTTGGGTGTATGGATTGTGTGAAAAAAAATAGATAGTCCGTGTTTGGTTAATGTATTGGGTTGATCACATGATGAAGTAAATGTTAAGACTTAAGTGTGTTTAAGGTTGTGATTTACGTGAGGAGAAGATTAAATGCATTGATAACACGTTTATTTTTTTTATTTTTAACATAAAGCACTTATCTACTACTCCGGGAAAACAACCTAGACATAACAGTTTTAATTTACTACTCCGTATATTTTTCTTGAGTTTGTAATATACTAATTTTTAAAATAATTTTGCTAGTGTTTTAATAATTTTATTAATTTGAAAATATATTTACTCGCTAACCAATTCATTTAACTTGCATATGTGTTCTGATATGTAATTTTATATAAAACATCAACATTTACAATCAACTTTCCCAATTAGTTTTAACCAAAAATACACCCGAAAAATCTAAGGTTGCAAGCAATGAACTTTCCCAAATGTTTTTTTAATATAGTAATCCATTTTTTTATAGTAAAAAATGATAATCTTTAACTATTATTTAAATAAAATATATAGTATCAGATATTGGTATAAGAATAATTTTCTTAGAATAATCTTAAAATATTTTCAAATGTGTTTTATCTAATCAATATATCATGTAATTTTTATAAACAATTAACATATCTAGCTGATCAAATCCATTAAATATATCCATTATTCACAATTGTTAGCCAACTCCACCTTCAATCACATACCAACCATGACATGGTAAGGAAAGCACACTCTTTAATACGCAATATTTCACAAAATTATAACAAAATAAATATTTAAAAAAAAATCATGGCTTGCCTTATTCAAACCATTCAACATGGGGAAAGCCATGCACCCACAAGTTCACAGAGAAAAACAAAACATTTGCAATGACAGAGCAAACAAACAAGAAAATCCCTATGCACCCAAAAAAAAGGAGAATCCCTACACAGGAACCATAGCAGGATGGGCACCTACTAGGGAATCCATCTCATCTTCCATGTGCTGAGTCTCAACGTCTGGCGGCGGCTTCTTGGAGAGGGGAAAGCCGCCGTGCACTTTAGCCTCTGCGACGCCGGTGGCTTCAAAGACAAGGGAAGTCACTTCTCGGAACCTCTCCTCTGAGAGAGAGACCTCTGCAAGTAGTTTCCAGGCATTTGCTTCTGATGCACCCTCAAAGTCCTCCTTCCTCTTCAGTACAATGTGACCACTGATCTCCCAAACAGCCGGGTTCACTTGTGTGTCGAGCAGCTCGGCGCTCACCTCCCCAAGTGCCTGTTTCTCCGCATAGCACTGTTTTCCAGTTCGAACGAACGTTTATGTTAGTTTCATTCAGTGTTATCCCAATCTGGCAGTTCTGAATATCTAGTGTGCTTTATTATAGTCAACAAGTGTTTGTTTGGTTTTTGCATCACATGATGATATAAAACCTACTCCCTCCATTCCATCTTAGATGTCCGTTATGATTTTAGAGATATATTAAAGAATGAATGAATGTAGACATACACTATGTCTGCATTCATTCATTTTTGAATGTATGAAGAGAGTATGTTTCATTAAAAAGTTGATGATACTTGATTTTAATTAGCAGTTTCCGTGGTGTAATAGCCAAGTATGACAAAACCAGGATACCTGAGGAAGGAGGAAAACCCGCTTTCCCATATCGGAGATAAGGACATTAAAAGGAATGTTGTTTTCTTGGAGGCATATGCAAGAACTCGAGACGACATTGGCCATCTCATCCAGGGAACTTGCTCCATCAAAGACCAGACCTCTCACGGGATAATTCAGAATCTCAAAGATCTTCACATTCCCAGCAGCAGCAGCAGTGGTTACTATCCTCGTAGGGGCCTTCTCGATGGGAAAGGGCACAGCCAAATAGTAGGCCTGTATAACACACATTGTGACAGTCATAAGGGATTGACCAATCCATCAATGAATCTCCCTGAATATGACATTTGTTGCTTGAGAGTACCTGGAAGTGGAGGTGATTGATGGTGGCGAATGCACCCAAGCTGTTATAGCCCACTCTGAAGTACGGATTAGAAGCTTCTGCAGCCATGTGAAGTGCAAGCAAGAAGCTGTCTCTGTCAATCCTCTGCGGGAAGCAGTCCAGAACCTTAGGAATCAACAGGATGTGGCCATATTCTATAGGGCTGACCTGTAAGAGGATGGATCGACTCTGGGTTAGTTAGGTAACCACAAAATATATGTGACGCCCTCCAGATTATATTGTAAGGCACTGTTTAAAAGGGGTTAGGGGAAACGTCAACAAGACATTGTTTTCTCTTATGAAAGCATTTATTGGTTTCATTCCATTGCGTTCCCCTAATTGATAGGTTTTCATGCTTATGTAATGAAAATGTATTTTTTTAACTCAGCCTTATAACAAGTCCGAGATAAGAGAATACGTAGCACTCTAATTGAAATAACCATAATCAGTTATCATACATTAATAGCAACAACATTCGGAGAGCTCTCAGCATCAATTGAGGCATCAGGGAAGAACTGGGTCCCATCATTACTGGCTTCAAACTGGAATAGCAACTCCTCCTGACCAACCTTAGTGAAATTGAACTTGTTTCCATCAAAGGGTTGCAGCACCTGATCAACTTGAAACTCGGTTGGCCTTTTCTTAAGGTGCCTCCCCTCATTCAGCTGTGCTATAAAGCCAGATCCCCCAGGTATCACCTATATAATTTTAGTCACATACAAAGTATCAAGCAAAGTTTTTAAAAGCTTAAAAATGTCTTATGCACGGTTAATTGAAGGTAAATAGAGGTACACAATTTGCGATTGGTATGCAATATTTCACGAGATCATGTTAGGCTACCTATGAGTCATATTAAGGTACGTATGTAACTATGTATACAATTCTTAGTAAATGAGGTAAACTAACGTAGTCACTAGCCAGCAATATAATACACCCTTTGATCCGATTTAGTTGTCCACTTTTTTGTTTTAGACTTACAGTTTGTCCAGGAATAGCTGTCCCCTATCCGTATTTAACAAAGAAATCATGATTAATTGTCAAAAATTTCCAAGAGATATGATATGAGCATTGTTGACAAGAATGGATGACAAACTCATTTGAAGGACTTATTGGACACTTTAAACTCATTTATTACAAGGAGAATTTTTTTTAAAAATGGACAACTAAATCCGAACGGAAGGAATATGTTGTAAACTTTACCTACCGTGGCCACCCTACGATTTTAAGTGCAACAAAAACATAGTATTATGAAGTACCAATGCTTAGCCGTCACTGACTTTGTTCCCCAAACAAGATCATATGATATACCCTTATAAGACACCTTGAACACCCTTCTACTACCTCTTGCCAAACAAAGTGCTAGTTCCTACCATGTTCTCATCACATACTTTCTTTTAAAATCATTGCCCAACAATAAAAGTAATGAAAACTTGGTATTGTGGGGTAACTCTTAGCCCTAGCTAATTTTTTAGCTAAACAAGATCACAAAAGGGGCCCTAGTACCACCTTAAACACCCCTTCTACTATCTCCTCCTACTTATGATGTTTAGTTTATAACATGTTCTCATCACACACTTCCATTCAAGTTCTTTGGTCTTTATTGCCTTTAATCAATATAATAAGACAAATCCAAACTAGAGTACGCAGAATGAAAAATCAAGCCAAATAGGAACCAAAGGATATGCAAACAAAGAATTGAGGAGAAAAAACACTAGAATAGAGTGGATGAAAAACACAAAGCAGGAAAGATGGATGACCTTAGTTTCACACGCAGTGACATCATAACGAAAGAGTCCTCTCTGCATACGGTCCTCCCACTACATCCAATGGTTGAATATTAATGGAAATTGTACTAAGTTACTAACAATCTGTATAAACCAATATAAAAGGCCAAAAAAAGGACTGTAACAAAAATATAGAGTATGAGATAATTAACTTCTAGCAGTAAATAAAATACCTCGCCTAGAAGAAGGGAATCCAAAAAAGCAACGGGTGGCTCCTTTACATCTTCCTCGGCAGTCTTGCAATGGTTCATCTTTTTGAAAGCATACAATGGAAGTTTCGAACCTATAGCAAGCAATAACCAATAAACCCTAAATCTTAGAAAACATACAAGGAAAAAAACTGTACTTTTATTTGTGGGTTTTTTTTTGAAAATTAAGGTAGTACCTGGAAGGCAGCAAGGGCGGAGGCAATTCCTGCCGCATCCAGGAGCACGAACAGAGCCATCCTCGCCGTCTTCCTTTTGGAGATTGGAAACAATCGTAGGAACCCTCTTAATCTTCAGCATCATCGTCGAAGGAGAATGATATTTT